ACAAGGTCGTCTGCAAACAGCAACCTTCTCGACTTAACATCTCCTATACCGATACCCTCATCGTCTTGGCTGCTTCTGATTATTCTATCCATGCACAACACAAACAGGATAGGGAACAGGACGCAGCCTTGGCGGAGACCAGTGCCAACAATGAAAGGTCTAGACTTAAAGCCATTTGCTCAGGCACAGTACCTGCTACCAGCATGTAGCAACTGGATATCCCGTAGCAGCTGGCCGTCAATCCCATTTGTTGGCAGCTATGCCCATAGATTTTTGCGTGTCGTTCTGTCATAGACTTCTAATTTTAACAAAGCTTATTAAGACCGACTGAGCGAACTGTCGCGATTTCCAAAAGGTCTGGCGTGTGGCTCAGATCTAGTCAGAGGTGATTCGGCCTGACGTGAAGCTGCACTGCACTTGTTGGATCTTACAGTCAGCTATTCTATTTGACTTGTATATTCAAAGCGCCCGTCTAATCCAATATAATAATGTTATGCTGCATTTAGGTTGTTGGGTAGTCTTTCCACTGGTAATTTTCTATTTCAACGTTTCCTGTACACTCGTCTGTTAGTTTCTGTTTTATTCTATAGCTTCCATATTAATGAACGGTTTGTCAATTTGCGTGAAATTCAGCAAAACGCAATATAATTAGAACGTTTTTTAAAAGGTTTATTACGAGATAAGGCTGCTGACGCTTATTAGCTGTCTCATACTACCTTAGACTTTCTCCAAGTTAATTTTATCATTAATGGTGCTTGACCTTAGCTGCAAGATTTTCTGCTCAAACACCAATATCAGCTGCTGTTATCAATATCACAGATAGAAACGTTAGTGCGTAAACCACACAGTAATAAAAATCTCCGAGGTAGAAACCGATTCATTTATGTACGCATTTTGTGTCACGTTTGTGTCATGTGTTCATAATACTTTTGTATGGTAAATTTAAGACAGTGTAAGCATGGTTATATGAAACTGCGGATCCGTATCCACTTTTATGTTTGTGATTGCACGTATGGAGTGCTGGCTTCTGAAACATCGTCTCAGGTGAACAACAGACGGCTGCAGCGAACAAAATAGTGCGAGTTGTATCTAACACTGTAGGTGTTCAAATGCCGACTGTTGAAGTGCCCCTTTCAAACAATTAGGAGCGATATACCGGTTCGATAAGCCACGGAAATTCGGCCTTTTAAAAAATAAGCGATTTTGAGCACAGTGTGATGTCATAGTCTGTGTACACGAACATTCACACGCTAGCTTTTTCATCAGTGTTGGACATTTAACCGAAAGAGAATTCTGTTCTGGATGAGCATCAAAGATGAGGCTACTTCGAAGGTCTTCGAACTTGGTCAGCATCAGCGTGGAGCCTCAAATTTTGAACCTGGTGGTCACGCCACTCGAGACTCAGCATTTCTACAGGTCGAAAAGGAGAAATCGAGGGATTTTATATCCGTCTGATACACCTTGATGTCGCCTGTCTGATGTCAGGACCAAATTCTTGAAGTACGCTGATGATATTGCTCTATTGCCTTCAGTACAATCTAGATCTGGATTATTCGGTTTGTTTCTCCTTCTCCATTCAAGAGGTGACGGATTAGAAGAACGACAGTGGTGTAACAAATCTGTGGGTTGACTATAGTTCCACCGTATAAGACCTGTATGTGGTACCCGTATGGAACTTCCCTTATCACCCTTCGGCAACCCCTTTTTGAAACGAAACAGTTGTAAAATACCTGGAGTGACGGGGGGGTTGAATGTCGATGAGAACCTCGGTTGCGAGCAACAAATTAATTCACTGGTTAGCATGATGTGACCTGATCTCCATGTTGTACTCTCTAAACTGGTTGAGCCTTGGCCTTGGTTCAAAAGTTCTGAGAGACTTAACCAAATCCTGTATTTTGCCACTCTTCCTCTGGGCTGCACCGATTCAATTTAATGGCCTCCAGAGAAAATAACTCTTTCACGTTCAGAGCCTTTTGAAACTACCTGAAACCACTGCAGGGTTTCTAACAATGCCTTTCGAAACGGTCAAGTACAGTATCCCTGTACGTTCCTTGCAAGTGCCGAATAGAAGCTTACCGAAGCTCAATCATTCTTTTCGTTGTTCGTTGCTTCAACGATTCCGACAACTGTCGTTTGAGACCAGAGTCTGGCCAGCCTGATATGGATATACCTTCACTGCTAATTTTATTGTTTATTACTTGTTTATTATGTTATAGAGGGTTTGACAATTTACCGTGTACGTTAAAGTTTATTTATTAAATTTGACTAAATGACCGTTTGGAGCCAAGAGGTTGGATAAACTTTAGAACACCTTCATGTGAGATGCTTTGTTTGCGAGCTTTTGTTTGTCAGATCTAGGGATCATAATTACTATGAGTTCGGCATATGATCAGGATACCACAAAAGGGACGAGTCGTACCTAGTTGGCAAAGTTATATATAAGATGATCAAAGGACAAGCAGACAAAGGAATTCATTATATAATTTTGCCAGTACCTCGCACTCTCGCGCCTTGGGTCGATTCCCTCCAGCCCTGCCCATTGATTGGGAACAGAACAGCGTTCATAAAATCCTTACGAATGGGCCTGCTCATTGTTCCGAGACGAATATCGGGCTTTGAAAATGAATGAGCGCGTTTAAATACGTTTCTCTCTGTGATCACATGAACGGGCTGGCCTTTTTCTTTTTACAACAGGCCTTTCTTTCTCAGTGCGTGGTCAAATTACCAGTGTTGTTGCTTCACAACCGTCTGCTACATTAACACCGCGTTAAACATGGTCTGCTTTAACAAGTGCTGTTGCTTGTGAGGTCCTTCGTTATAAGTCTTCATCCCTTGCGAAACGCTTCAACGGACTTTCTGACTTCAATGGCTCCGCCTTATCCATGATTCAAAAGTAAACTATTGGATAATCACTACCGATAAACATCGTATTGTCAAACGAAATGCTGAAATCACGAATGCCGGTTGTTCCTCTGACAATTGCTCATGCCCAAAATTTCAAAAATCCTTTACGGAATGGCACCGCCTGATCATTTTATGTACCAACCCTCGAAGCCTCAGGTCACATTCAGCCCGTCTTCCGGAAGTGATATCAAACGAAACAGTAGTTGTATAGCAAGATAATGCCACAATTTCTCAACCCATCGGATGGCCGAAGTGAATTTTTAAAGTTATGAATTTAAACCGTTATAAATATCGGGGGGGGGGTCGTACACCACGGATTTTAACGATGCTGTGGCGATTTGTGTCTTAAGCTTCCTGGCGTTATATACTCTGTTGGTACTGATTCAAAGAGGTTGCAGTGCCATAGCATTTCGTGGGATACAGAAGAAGCGCACCCAAGCAGCTCTCGTAGCCGATAGGTCGTTGATGGCCATTCGTTCACTCGGCCAACTGCATCTCAGTTATCTTGCTCGACGGTGCTGTCGAGGCTTCGTCATCGCTCGTTCATTGTTGTGAATTCGATCAACGTATGAATGAATGAAAGGATGGGTGGATCGCCGGTCGGTCGGGCAACAGGGCTGGCGGTTCCGGTTCCGGTTGATCGAGGTGGAAAATTTGATGCCATTGTCGTCGGTCGTCGCGCAACGGGCGGCGTGCTCCAATTTGGCCGCTAGACGGTCAGGTTCGAAACCAGAAGATCTCCAAACTCTGCCGTGCGATTGAACGGGAAGCCAGAGGCCTATGAAGCGAGTGAGTGACCTTGCTAAACATCCAAAAGCGTCGACGACTCCAGTGAAGCCGAAGCCTCGGACATTTTGAAAGTTCCAGTTTTTAGAAGGCGTGTAATTTCGAGGCATTGGGAAAGATGACAAAAAGAAAATGGACAGAAACCTGGCTTTTATGCGCGCGTTGGTCTAATGGGAGGGGCAGCGGACTGTAGTTTCGCTTTGCGTATTACTAATGAGGCGTTCGAGTAAAGACATAGTGTAAAATTTTCCTTTTAACCGTCAATGCCGTTGCTCAGGCAATTCGTCCATTGTGCAGCGATATAACTAGTTCAGAAGTAGGCAATACGTCCGTTGACCCGCGATCAGCGTGAACAGCATTGTCCCTTTAAGCGGTCATATTAGATCAGGGCGCGAGCCACGGCCATCTCCTCTGATGGTATCTCCTGCGGCCGCAATTCCTCTTTGCTTGCCTGACAGTTGAGTAACAATCAATACAAGGGGAACCGTAATTTAAAAAATAATAAAAGTGAACAAATTTTTTTATTCAGTAATCTCAGTGCAACAGTTTTAAGCATGAACTTAATCCGGGTTTTTATGGATTCACTCTTGACTGTGAACGAGCCTGCCAGTTGTCGTTCACTGGTTCTATGCCATCTCGTAAACACACTTCTTACAGGTAATTGTTTAAGTCGACATGGGTGTTTTCTCTATCTTCTTCGTGCTTACCTACTTCACTATGAAAGACCAACAGTATATGAGGTGGAGGTAGACGAGTCCTCCGACTAGTTCTGTAGGTAGTGCGTTTGACTTGCAGTCGAAAGTTCACGAATGGAATCCCTCGTCTTTCATAGTTTTGATATAGATAAATTGGCAGCAAGAAGTGGGAAGGGAGCATGAGCGGCTGTAGCTACAAAGCGGATGCAGTTGCGGATATTATATGTAAAAATTTGACGTTTCTGACGGATGGCAGCATGAGGGTGTCATTCCCGCGCTACAAACTCTAATACTGCAAACCGTGAAAGCGTACTTGAGATCGGCATTCCCGCGGTTTTAGTTTCCTCCCACATTTCCAATACGGACGGCTTTGGACGTCGCACTTGATTATTGTATCTCTTTTGATCCGATCGCTTCGGCTTCGGCACAGAAGCCATTCTTAGAGATATTTCACAAATAGTGATACTGAGGCTGGGATGCAGATGCAGGCAAGCAGATTCGAGCCATACTGCGGAAATACATATCTTTGGAATTTTGTCCATTTCATCTGATGCCGTTTTTATTTAAGATCTTCATTTTTTCTGTACGAAAGGCTTGGAGGTGACAAGTCTGCATCATTTTTTGAAAAATGACCCTGACGTTGGCTTATGATCGGAAGTTGAAAGATCGAATTCAAGGCAGAGTTTAAATTACATTATTACGTAAGATCTCCGCGACCCGAAAGGAGAAGCGGCGATGGAAGATGATGATGATATTACGTAAGATAACCTGTAACTCTTACACGACCAGATTTCACAATATAACACCACTCCTTTGCTGCTAGCTGCTTGCTGCCTTTTGGATCCATTACAGAAGGTCACGGCTCCATGGCATTTGAACACCGGTAATGTCTGTATCATCTCTCATGAACTATCTAGTGCTCATTACGAGCGATGTTTCAGAAGTGGTGCTCCTTACATGCTGCTCCATAAACATGCATTGACATATATTGAAAATGACATTTCGAAGATTATTACCGATTAGCACTTGTGTTAAAATTAAGTGCCATCTGGCATGAAGACTGTGCAGTTGGAATTCTCCTAGCCGCCGTTGCCAGAGCTTTGTTTGCCGAACGTTTTTGGATGCAAGATATGCGTTGTCAGTACTACAACAGTATATGAAAATACATTAACCTTATTTCTTCCTGACTTTCCATACTTGTACTTACTTTATTCCTGACCTGTTTCGTATGATGTAAGCATTAAACTAAGCTATTTTAAAGAGCACAATTCGCATGGCTGTCATCCTGATTTGTGAGCTCTCATCTGCGTTTCAGATGGGCTCAATTTTCGAACTTTCCTCTCTCATGAAACGATTTAAAGCAGCTGTCAGTTTCAATGTACAGTTCGTTAATGAAACGATTAGCATAAATTTCTCTCTGGAGTCACTGACCTCATGAGATGCGTGTCCGTACACCACTTAATTGCAGTAGCCGCAGTGCGTGCCTAAACGAGCACTGCTTCGCGTTCGCTGGATGAGTTTGATTGAGTTTCTGGACCGTCACCGGTCGGGGCGGTGTTCTCTGATCGTCTCATGCGGCGTTGTGTCGGCGGGAACTTTCTCGACCAGCCAAAGTGCTGAATTATCCATCTACGTTTGTGAGTACGCCTGATACCTCCAGAGTCGCCCGTTCGCTCGCAATCGGAAAATCCGCTCATCCTCTGCAGGCCGATGAGGCAAGAGGTGGCAAACAGTTTTTGACATTGAACCTAACCGAGCCGAGCGTTTCGTTCTTTATTTATTACTTCCATTATACAGCTGCATTTTCTCATTGATTTGATTTATTATTCGATTGGAGGAAGGAGAAGTTTGCCGTATTCTCTCCAACACAATTAAGCAAACTAATTTGAATTGGATTTATCGGCAAAAATATCGATTATCTTCAGTTACCGAAAGTGCAGAGGAAAACTGGGCAGTTATTAACGCTGAATTAGTCGACGGTTTAATATTTGAATAAATTATTTATCAGTGTTCTTCAATGTCACGTTTTCATAGGTTTCCGTTGGCCTAATTTCGCATATGGTTTGTCGAGTTTGGACGACAATGTTCAGAGTTCCAAGCCACGGCGGAACAATGTTGATAATAATTCCGGAAATCACTCTTATACCTCCGTCTTGCATTTTAAAGCGGTTTCTGTGAAACTTCAAATATACTATTCGTTAAGGGAGTTTGAATATTTGATGTACCTCCAGCGTTAGATCTTAATTGGAGCTAACAATTGCTTTTGTTGGCTTTTGTACATCTGGATTCGTTGGCTAGACATCTACTCTTATAACCGTATGTAAGTACGTTAAAATCCCAAGAAACAAGCTGGCCCTATCAGCACGAACAGCAATTTTGATTTGGTCACAAATCTTTATAGAGTTGACTGTGAAGTCGGCATCAAGCGATCGATCAATACGTAAACAAATGACTGCATGCACTTCGTTGTGTAATGCTCAACATTTCGAAGATGACCATGCCTAATGTCATAGCATACCGAACGGCAATGCGACAGCAGACCGGCTGGTTCGACAGCCGCCGACTCTGTTTGATTTTTATCTTATGAATATAAAAATATGGTTTACTCCTTGTGCTAATTATTTATTTTCAGCAATCAACTGCTGCATCGAGATTCGTCGATTGGGGTTGCTAAGTCGGTAGACGTCCTACAGAACTCTGAGGTTCCGGATTCGAGCCCCGATCGGAGTCATTCGCCTTTGTTCGTTTCCAGGTTGATAAATAAGTACTGCTCTGTGGAAGGGAAACAGGAGGTTTCTACGCTTGCCACACAGCAGCTGTCGATTCTGACATTCCTGGCTAATTGTACGGAAATGGAGATCAGCGCTCCCACAACTAATGTCGGAAGAATAACAGAAGGGCACTAGAATGACCCCATCATGAAAAGGTAAGAAAAACCGACATTCCAACAGTTAGAAATTTCCCTTCCTTAGGAGGAGCACATATCAAGCGACATGGCGGTATGTCTCGCACGCTCTGGTACGACGGCACCAAAACACCGTGCTCTCTCCATCGGTCGCAGGTC